CTTTTTCCGCCTGGATCTCTCCAAAATCGTGGATCGCCCGCCCATCCTCGGGGCCGCCGGTGGCTCCCAGGGGCGTCCAGCCAGAAGCTGGGAACCACGAACGGGGTTTCCCGGCCTGGATCTCTCCAAAATCGTGGTTCCCGCCGTCTTCGGGGCCGCCGTGGCTCCCAGGGGCGCCAGCCAGAGCTGGGAACCATGATTTCGGGTTTTTCCGGCCTGGATCTCTCCAAAATCGTGGTTCCCGCCATCCTCGGGGCCGCCGTGGCTCCCAGGGGCGCCAGCCAGAGCTGGGAACCACGATTTCGGGCTTTTCCGGCTTGGATCTCTCCAAAATCGTGGTTCCCGCCATCCTCGGGGCCGCCGTGGCCCCAGGGGCGCCAGCCAGAGCTGGGAACCACGATTTCGGGCTTTTCCGGCCTGGATCTCTCCAAAATCGTGGTTCCCGCCATCCTCGGGGCCGCCGTGGGCCCAGGGGCGCCAGCCAGAGCTGGGAACCACGATTTCGGGCTTTTCCGGCCTGGATCCTCCAAAATCGTGGTTCCCGCCATCCTCGGGGCCGCCGTGGGTCCCAGGGGCGCCAGCCAGAGCTGGGAACCACGATTTCGGGTTTTTCCGGCCTGGATCTCTCCAAAATCGTGGTTCCCGCCATCCTCGGGGCCGCCGTGGGCCCCAGGGGCGCCAGCCAGAGCTGGGAACCACGATTTCGGGCTTTTCCGGCCTGGATCTCTCCAAAATCGTGGTTCCCGCCATCCTCGGGGCCGCCGTGGGCCCCAGGGGCGCCAGCCAGAGCTGGGAACCACGATTTCGGGCTTTTCCGGCCCGGATCTCTCCAAAATCGTGGTTCCCGCCATCCTCGGGGCCGCCGTGGCTCCCAGGGGCGCCAGCCAGAGCTGGGAACCACGATTTCGGGTTTATCCGGCCTGGATCTCTCCAAAATCGCGGTTCCCGCTTCGGTTTCCGCCATCCTTTTGGCCGCCGTGGGTCCGTGGGGCGCCAAACAGAGCCGTGAACCGGGATTTCGGGTTTTTCGAGCCTCGATCTTTCCAAAATCTTGGCTACCGCTATTTTCTGGGCTGCCCTGGGTCCCCAGGGCGCCAGACAGAGCCTGGGGGCGGGGGGTGCTCTCGGGACTAGACCGCTACGACGCGGAGTGGCGGCGATGTGCCAGCCTGCACCGCTCCGCCCACCCAGCGGTCTCGTCCTCCCAGCGCGATCTGCAGCATCGACCGACTGCGATCTTCTTGGCCGCCAGCGTGTCGTTTTGCATTGTTCTAGCTCTCGTGCTGTTTCACCATCGCTCGGCATCTTTCATGCTAAGGTTGTTTAGGCGCATGGGTAATTCTGCTTTTGTGGGCAGTCGGTTCGCGCTGGGGCTGCTGCTGACTGCTCGGATCGCACCTGTGCTAGAAAGTCCATGAGGACTTGAGCTTTTCCAGCCTCGATCTCTCCAAAATCATGGTTCCCGCCATCCTCTGGGCCGCGGGGCCCTGGGAGCGCATAGCAGCAGAGACCACAGAGCAGCAGAGAGCACAGAGCAGCAAAGAGCAAAGAGCAGCAAAAAGAGCACAGAACAGCAGAGAGCACAGAGCAGCAGAGAGCACAGAGCAGCAGAGAGCACATAACAGCAGAGAGCACAGAGCAGCAGAGAGTACAGAGCAGCAGAGGGAGCACAGGGCAGCAGAGAGCACAGAGCACAGAGCCGGGAACCACGATTTCGGGCTTTTCCGGCCTGGATCTCTCCAAAATCATGGTTCCCGCCATCCTCGGGGCCGCCGTGGGTCCCTGGGGCGCCAGACAGAGCCGGGAACCGGAATTTCGGGGGTTTTCCAGCCTCGACTTCTCCAAAATCATGGTTCCCGCCATCTTCTGGGATGCCCTGGGTTCTTTTCGCGCGCGCGCGCCCAGCAGATTTCTTTCGAACGGCCCGCAGTTTTCGCGCGAATCGATTTCGCGCGGACGGCGGACCCTCGACACATATAGTGAATCAGAGTGAGCAAGGAGAGGGAGGTGATGAGGATGTTGAGCAATGCCGGGTGCCATTTTGGAGCATCTTCGCCCTCCTCCTACTCCTCCTCCTCCTCCCTTTCCTCTTCCTCCTTCTTCTCCTCGTCCGCCTCCGCCTCCTCCTCATTCCTCCAACCCCTCGCGAAACCTTCCAAAACAATCCTGGGAGGGGAGGGGGGGGGGTACCCTTCCCCGAAGGAAAGAGGGGTTTCTTTGGAAGAGGAAAGGAAGATCTCGTTAAACCGCCTGTCGCCCCAAAGGGCTGGCGGGATTCTCTTCCCTCCTTCCTCTGGAAGGTTTCCGTAAACTCCCGGAGAGCCTGCGGCTTCTTTTTCCTGCGTATCTTGCTTCCGCTTCCCCTTGCTTCGTCTCCCTCGGAACCATCGCCACGCAGGCTCGAGCACTCTCCTTGTTGTGGCACTCTTCGGTTTTTCTAGCGCCGCCGGAACATGGGGAAATCGCAGAGGGAGCGCCGGGCGGCCGAGCGCGCCGCAGCACGCGAGGCCGGTGCCTCTGTGGCCGACGGCGTCGATGTGCGCGAGGCCGGGCCAGTCCGCGCCCCGCCTGTCCGCGCGATTCTGCCCGTGGGGCAGCTGGCCGTGGCTGCCCCACCGTCGAGGCCGGCGTGTGCCGCGCAGCCGCCGAGGCCCGCGCGTGCCCCCAGGGTGCCGTGGGTCCCGCCCGCGACTCCTGTGGCCCCGTCTCCGGGGCCGCCGGCTGCGGCTGCTCCTCCGTCGAGGCCGGCGTGTGCCGCGCAGCCGCCGGGGCCGGCGTGTGCCCCCAGGGTGCCGTGGGTCCCACCCGCGGCTCCTGCGGCTTCGCCTCCAGTGAGGGCGGTGCCTGCGCAGTGGCGGGCGGCGCGGCCGCCGGCTCCGCGCGAGGACCGCTCTCGGGAGCGCACGCCGCGAGAGGCGGGGAAGGCCGGCGTGGCTGGGGCCCCCTGGCGCCCGAAGGCCCAGGCGCCTGACCTGGCTGCCCCAGAGGCGCTGCGCCAGGCGGACGCGCGCGACAACGAGGACGGGCACGCTCGGGAGCAACGAGAAACTCTGGGCGACATGCCGACGCCGCGTTATAACACTACCGTTTGTTTTCACATGTCAGGCGTGGCAGGCTCGGGCGCATGTTTATTGTTAGCCATCGGTGAGTCCAAGCCCTGTCCTGCGAACGTGGCCGACACTCCGCCGCAGCTAGGTGGCCGGAGCCCTCTGTCAGGGCTCGCGGCGCGAAGATGACCGCGTCTCGTCCTCGGGGCACGCGACGCGAAGATGACCGCGCTTCGCTCTCTGGGCCAAAGATTTGTTGGCACGCTCGCTGGGCCTATGTGCACCATCACGTATATTGAAGAAACAGGATGCCGCCAGACAGTCAAAATGCCCAGTGCTTTTGAGGACACTTCCGGGGCCTCCGCGGACCTCAGAGATCCAGAGTGCGGTGCACGCTATCGCGTCCCTGCCGGCCGCGTGGCCGATGCCATCGGGCAAGCAGCGTGAGTGAGTGAGTGAGTGGGTTAGCTCTCTCGAAACCGACGGGCTGGCATCCCACAAAACAGGTGCTCCAACTGTTGCGGGGCGCCGGCTGTTACGGGGGCCCCCCCTCGTGCCACGGAACGGATTTGGCTCCCAATCCTGTCAGAGCGCTGGGGCCTTCTCGGCCGCAGGGCGGCCGGCTTCGGAGCGCGGTGCAAGCTATCGCGCCCGGGCCGAGTGGCCGATGAAAACCTTCCCGGGCTGGGCCCCCCCGGGGCTCTTCTATATGCAGCCACTTCGGGGCTAGGCCCGGCGCCGGCCCCTGGGGCATCCAGGCGAGATTCGTTTGCTGCTGCGGCTTCCCCTGCCTCGCCAAACCTTTTGGGCGTTGTCCCCAGAGTTTCTGCGTTCGGTCCTTCCGAGCTCTCAGGAGTGGGGGGTGTTCCTCGAGACGTCGGAGCGCGTGCGCGGGAAAACCGGCGAGACTATCTCCAGGGTCAGCGGCGATTGAACTCGGGGGTCGGGGTGTCCAGCGGGGCCGCCTTCCGAGCCCAGGTGCACCATTTGTGCAAGTTGCGCCCAGTGCCCAGTGCGCCGGGCGTCGAAGTCTCGCCGGGGGCGCCGTGCGTGCCTCGCCTGCGTCGGCCCCGGCCCCAATCACATGGCGACGCACGCTGCGTCCCTGAGTTCGGTCGCCTGCAAGGCGCTCGTGCGCTGGGCTCCGAAGGCCAGCGCGTCCGCCGCGACCCTGAAGGCAGCGCTGGCCGACCTGGACTACAAGTTTAAGCGCACAGAGGTCACCTGCGCAGAAAGGGAGCGGAAGATGCTGCAGAACTTCTTGGACGGGTGCCCGGGCCGCGTGCCCGTGGTCACCTTTGGCCGCGAGGTCCGGTGGCGCGAGCCGCGCTACGCGGACGAGGAAGGGTACAACGTCCACATCCTCTTCAGCGTGCGGCCGGCGCGCCCGGGCAGCTACGAGGTGAAGAAGTGACCTGGCTTTGGCATGTCCTCGTCGTCCTCCGGTCGCTTCCCTTTTTGGTTTTTCTTCGGTATCCATCCCCTGGAGCGATCCGGAGGGCTCTGGCGAAATCGTGGGGGCGTGTTTTTGGGCGCCGTCAACCTCCGGAGGCCCTGTCATCGGGCCGCGCACTTCTTCTTGAGCGTCCAAATGACAAACGGGGGGCGCGCCCCGCGCCAAAAGTGGTTCTAAGGCATAATAATACCCATGAATACACTCTCAAACGAGATCACAGAGATTGATGAAATTGGTTTTTGTTTGGACATCCGGGGGCGGGGTGCCAGCCTTGGCCAGAAGACGTGCAAATAATGATCATCCTCGTATCCAGAAATTCATTCCCTCGGGCTCTAACATCGTTGGCGGGGACTGCTGGCAATCGCGTTACAACGGGCTGTGGCGCATGCTATTCTCATGAGCTTACGGATCTCCCCCGCACGCAGCAGGAGCCTACAGTGCCATTGGCTGATTTGGACATCATCTGATGCCCTCCTGCTGCTGCTGCTCCTCATCCTTTCCTCCTCGTCCGCCTCCTCCTCCTCCTCCTCCTCCCCCCCCTCCTCCTCCGCCTCCTCCTCCCCCTTCTCCTCCTGGGCTGCTTCGCCGCGCCGCCGCTCTGTCGAAGACGACGTTCTTCGGTTTCCTGGAGCCCCCGGTCGTTTCGCGCCGCGCCGGCGCCCGTTTTCCAGACACGAGCTGCGCATGTGGTCGTAGCTGTCCCGCGGGGGAAAGCAACAACATCATTGGGTAAATATTTAGCAAGCGCGCTCAGATAGCAACGCCCCCGCGCCGCAGACGGCGCCGTTTGAACACGAACCAAGACATGTTCGACTACCCCTCACTTCCTCGCACTCTTCCCTCTCCTTCCCAGTCCTCCCCGCCCATTCCGCTCATATCCACTCCGTCCCACTCCCCCGCATTCCTCCGCACTCCCCCCCACCTCTCCGCACTCCTCCCCATTCCCTCTCCTCCTCACACTTTTCCAATCCATTCCACTGTACTCCACATCCCTGGCACTCCTACCCACTGAGTTTCACTTACCACTAGTTCATCCTGCCCCACTTCTTCCCAGGTCGGCACGTTCGTCCGCAATCCTCTTCATTCATATCATTCCTCCCTCGGTATCGTCTCCAACCATTCCCCACTCCCTCCCCTCCCTCTCGTCTCCCCCCGCCCCTCCTCCATCCCCCCGGTTCGCTGGAAACGAATACGCCCCATCCATCCGCGTTGTATATCAGGAAGCCTGCGGGTTGAGCTGGGTCGTTCTCGCTCTGGCTCTCTGGGCGGCGGACGTCTCCAGATGGGTTTCGGGGAAGGCTCCGAGCCAACGTCATCTTGGAATCGCTCCGGGTGGGCTCCACAGCGGCTCAGAAGAAACCCAACATATGTACCCCTGAGAACCCTGAAAGCGTTCCAAGGAGCCCCTTGGAGGCCCCCGCGAGGCGCCCATAGGTCTTCAAGAACGCCCAAAGAAATCGCTCCAGGTGGGCTCCAAATCGGCTCAGGAGAGGCCCAACATATTTCCCCCAGAGAACCCTGAAAGCGTTCCAAGGAGCCCCCCGAGAGACCCCCGTGAGGCGCCCATAGGTCTTCAAGAACGCCCGAAGAGGCTACCATACCACCCAAGACAGCTCCAAGAGGGCAGTCCAAGAGGCCCAAGAAGGCCCCAAGAGGCCCCCGAAATGTTCCCGGCAAGCTTTCAGAGGGCTCCCACGAGGGCCCGAACAAGTTAAAGAGAGCCCCAAGAGCCCTCGATGGCCCACGAGTTTCATCGTGGGTTGAAGGCGGAAAACCAACTCGACAGACCACCACAGCAGACCATCGCAATGAATCAATAACATGTGTATGCGTTGGTCTGCTATGCGACGTTTGTTCGTATCTTTGACGTTCTCACCCAGCATTCTGACAAGGGGGAGAGGGACATTGTAAGAGGAAGCGCGCTAGCCCATCTACCCCTAGAGTGCGGGTTGATTTTGTTCGAAGGCAGTTTGGGATGTTCCAAGATTTTTGGACGTCGTACTGCTCTAACCCGGGCTACACTGTGCCATAGTGGAGGTCATCTTGGACCATGCGGTGTTATATTCTTCACGCTTCGCGTATCCCCACCAGCCCATCCCGAAACAGCCGCCAGTCGAGTTGCCTTTGAAGAGAGAGGTTTAGCAGCACGCAATACAAAAGTGAACCACATCCTCGCGGAACGCCCCGTCCAGGTCCAGGGGAGGGGGTAGGGGGAGGGGAAAACCCGTCCCCTCAGGGGAAGAAGGGGTTGTGGAAGAGGAACGAGGAATCTCGTTTAGACCACCTGGCCGCAAATCAGTCGCCAGGCGAGTTGGCTTGATGATGATGTTGTCGCCAGGCGAGTTGGTGCCTCTTGGAGGCCTTTTTGAACCGTCTTGGAGGCCCCTTAGGCTATTTTGGGCCGTCTTGGGTGCATCTTGGCCCGTCTTGGAGACATCTTGGGGCCATCTTGGGCTCTCTTGGGACCATCTTGGCCGTCTTGGAGGCCATCTTGGACATCTTGGAGGCCTCTTGAGCCGTCTTTGGGCCCTCTTAGGGCCGTCTTGGGGGCCTCTGGGGCCGTCCTCGGGCCATTTCGGGGCCTCTTGGAGCGCTCTTGAGGCCACCTTGGAGGCCTCTTGGGAGCCTTGGAGGGCCTCTTGGGGCCATCTTGGAGGCGGTCGGTCAAACGAGGGGAGGATGTAGGAGGAGCCGTCGTCGTCGGAGTAGGAGGAGGAAGAGGAGGAGCAGGAGGAGGAGCAGGAGGAGGAGCAGGAGGAGGAGGAGGAGGAGGAAGATAAGGAGGAAATGGAGGACAACGAGGAGGAGGAAAAGGAAAAGGAGGAGGAGGACGAGGAGGAGGAGGGGGAGGGGGAGGAGGGAGGAGGAAGAAAAAGAGGAGGAGGAGAAGGACAATGGCGAGCTTGAGGCCTCTTGGGCCGTCTTTGGGTCCTCTTGGCGGTCCCGGGGGCCTCTTGCGTATCTCGGGGAGCCTCTTGTGGCCTCTTGGGGGTCTCTTGGGGGCCTCTTGCAGGCCTCTTGGGGGCCTCTTGGGGCCTCTTGGGGCCCTCTTGGGGCGCTCTTGGGGCGCTCTTGGGAGCTCTTGGGGCCATCTTGGAGGAGATCTATCAAAGAAGGGGGGGTCCCCAATTAGCGCTGCCCCTCTAGAGTGCCTCGAATCGCTTCTTGGGCCCTTTTTGAGGCCAAAATCCTTCCAACACCTAGGTAAAATCAATGTTTTGTGCTTTCTCGCCTTTTCTCTCTTGGAGCCGTCTTGGGCCGTTTTGGGAGCCTCTTGGGCCTCTTGGGGGTCTCTTGGGAGCCTTTTGTGGGCGCCTCTTGGGGCCTCTTGGGGCGCTCTTGGGGCGCTCTTTGGGCGCTCTTGGGAGCCTTCGGGGCGCTCTTGGGGCCATCTTGGAGGAGATCGATCAAAGAAGAGGGCGTCCCCAATTAGCGTTGCCCCTCTAGAGTGCCTCGAGTCGCCTCTTGGGCCCCCCAAGAGGCCAAAATCCTTCCAAAACCTATGTAACATCAATGTTTTGTGTTTTCTCGCCTTTTCGCTCTTGGAGCCGTCTTGGGAGCCTCTTGGGCCTCTTGGGGGTCTCTTGGCAGCCTCTTGGAGGCTCCTTGGGGGCCTCTTGGGGTCTCTTGGGGCCCTCTTGGGGCGCTCTTGGGGCGCTCTTGGGAGCCTTCGGGGCGCTCTTGGGGCCATCTTGGAGGAGATTGATCAAAGAAGGGGGGTACCTAAATTGGTGTCCCCCCCTCGGGGGCCACGATCCCTGTGAGGCGTGTCAAAAAATAGCCCTCCCAATGAGCGAAAAAGCGCCCTCTGACACCTCGCGACCCCCTCCGTCCAGGTCCAGGGGAGGGGGTAGGGGGAGGGGTAAACCCCTCCCCGAAGGGGAAGAAGGGGTTGTGGAAGAGGGAAGAGAGACATCGTTAGACCACCTGTCTCCCAGAGGGCTGGTGGGATTAGAGCAATTCTTTACGCTGCACTTATCCCCACCAGCCCATCCAGGAACGATGCCCAGGAGAGCTGACGGGAGAAGGGAGGAAGAGACGCACATAGTGAAACAGCGCAGGCAACAGAGGTGAATTGGGAGATCTATGGTAGCGAAGGGTGCGGTTGTTGCTGCTGGTGATGTTGCTGCTGCTGGTACTCCTGTTGCTGGTGCTGCTGCTGGTGTTCCTGGTTCTCGTGCTGCTGGTGCTGCTGGTGCTGCTGCTGGTGCTGCTGCTGGTGGCGGTGGTGCTGCTGCTGGGCTGGTGCTGCTGGTGCTGCTGCTGGTGCTATTGCTGATGGCGGTGCTGTTGGTGGTGCTGCTGATGATGGTGCTGTAGATTGTACCACATCGCTGTTTAGCTGGTGCTGGTGCTGTGGAGGACGAGGGGGGGGGGAGGAGGAGGCCGAGGAGGAGGAGGAGGAGGAGGAGGAGTCAGAGGAGGATGCAAGAGAAGGCGACAATTGGACCAGACAGACTACTGCGGATCTTTTGCTCTGGGACTCTCTTGGTGGCCTTGATGAAATTCTGGCGCCATCTTGGATGACATCCTTCAAACACGGGGCCGACGCGGATTAGCGTTGCCCCCCCTTGGGGTAAAGCAAATCCACTCCTGAAGCTTTCTTGAGCGCTAATTGGGTGCTCTTGGGGCTGTATTGGAGCCATTTCGGGGGCTCTCTTTGGGCTCTCTTGGAAGCTTTGGGGTCTTCCGTGGAGCTCCCTTGGAGGCCATCAATCAAAGAAGAGGGGGTCCTCCGGCCTTCTAAGTACGTCGGCCGCTTGAGCCGCACACAAGCCGCCTCTTGGGGCCTTGGGGCGCTCTTTGGGCTCTCGCGGGCGCTCTTGGATCCGTCTTCTAGCCCATTTGGGCCTCTGTTGGGTCTCCCTCGGGCCCTCTGGGAGCTATCTTGAGGCTTGGGAGGGCCATCCGAAGCGAAAAACTGAAAAGCACACAAACGTTGATTGGGTTCACTTTGT